TCAACTCGGCTCCCGGCTGTTTGCGCCACCGCTCCTAGGAGACGGCTCTCATTCAGGTCAGGGCGACCTTCACAAGGCGAGACCCCGTGCTGGGTCCCAGTCCTCCTCTGTCTTGGCCCAGACCAGCGGGTGACAGTGCCCACCCCTCTCTGCTCTACCACACCCTCTTGCTCACGGTCCCTCCTTTCTCCCTGGCAGCTCCTCTCCGCTCCCCTGCTGCTTCCTCCTCTGTTGGGGCTCCATCTCGGACCTCTCCTGCTCTCTAACTAACCATACTCACTCGCTTGGCAATCCCCGCCAGTCCCCTCCAAGTACTGATGACTCCCCTTCTACACGGTCCCAGCCCCTGCTCCACGCCTGATGGGTGTCTCGCATGCCACGTGTCCTGACCCAGACTGCTGGCCTCTCCCCAGACTGCAGCCTGCCCGGCGGGTGCCAGTCCCACCCGCCTCCTTGCAGTCATCTGATTTTCTCGCATCCAGCTGAGTGGCGTCACAAGGGGGTGGGGCGGGGATGTGCACGAGCAGAGGGCAGGCCACACCAGTTGACACGCTCAAAGAGTCTACAGAACGCTTGTGCAGGATTTCAGTAGAAGTGTATGGTTTTTTAAAAATTAAAATGCCCGTTTTACAAAAGCATTCTTTGTCGGCCCAGCTTAACCTGTACGATAATAGTACTCCCGAGGCTCAAACTCTAGACGAATGGAAACTTCTCTTTTGGGGTTTTTGATTTCAACCTTCTAAAGAGCTCCTGGAAGAGTTACCGTCTGGGAAACCCACAGGGGCAGGAATGCTTGACGGCAGTGAGTTTTGGTCTTCTCTTGTTTTTTTCATGAGCTCCTGACAGAGCCATGATTATTACCCCTTTACAATGAATGACGCTTCCAATAGAGTGGCTCCGACTGGATGCGATGTAAGCCTGCACTGTTTGTTTGTTTGTTTGTTTGTTTGTTTGTATGACTGCTAATTTTGTAGTTCAAACCCACCCACCACCTCTCGGGAGACAGATGAGGCTGTCTACTCCCGTAAAGAGTTACTTGGAAACCCACAGGGGCCGTTCCACCCTGTCCTGCGGGGCTGCTGTGAGTCTGAATCGTCTCAGTGGCAGTGATATTGGGTTTGAAGGATGTTTTCTGTTTTGTTTTGTGTTTAATGTTGTCGCCTGGAGTTTTAACCACAATATTGTGGTAAGTAGTATTTGTAAACCGGCACCAATAAATGGAGCCGTCATTAAAGGAAAAGAAGAAGAAGAAGGTTAAAGGGCTTCCACTCAATTTCATCATGTTGTCATTCAATGTGGAAGGATTTCACAAAGCAATGCTGTTGCTAGTGTTCATGTACAGTGAACCCTCGCCACTTCACGCTTCGACTTCCGCGGCTTCACTCTATCGCGGTTTTTGCGTAACAGCGCATGCTCTGTCACGACTGCCACTGATTGGCTCATACTGTACACGCTTCTGTCTGCATCACTACGTATCGGAGCTACGTATCAGATGCATTTTTGCTTTTGTACAGTGTACTGTAATTGTTTGTGATTTTTAAGAGATTTTATCTAAGCCCTATGATGGCTCCTAAACGAGCTGCTTCTTCGAAGCCCTCTGACAATAAAAATAAGCGCCAGAGGAAGATGCTCACCATCCAGGAAGAGGTCAAACTTTTGGATATGATCAAAGATGGCAAGAAAATCGTGGAGGTTGCACGCCATTTCGACTTGAATGAGTCTTCCGTTCACTCCTCCATCCGTAAAGAGGAAAAAAACATCCGTGCTACAGCTACTTTCACTTTCAACAAGGAAGCAAAGCGCATCGTGACAAGTCGTAATAAGTTCATAGTAAAAACGGAGTCTGTCCTAGCCGTTTGGATCAATGACAGGTGCAAGAAAAACATTCCGTTGGATTCGATAGTCATCTGGGAGAAGGCAAGGCAGCTCTATCAGCGTTTTACAGCGGACAAACCTCAACCAGAATCCTCTTCTGCATACTGTAAACTAGATGCCATAAATAATATAATAAATAATAAATGATCATTGTAACGTCCAAAATGTTTTACTGTATTTTCCCTTTTTCGTTTAATAAATTGGGTAATACGAGTGTAATGGTGACTAAAGGGTGTTTTTTCATGTCCTCTATGCTCTAACTACGAAAATATTTGATTTACAAATAAGGAATCCTACTTCGTGGAATTTCATTTATCACGGTAGGGTCTAGAACCGATTAACCGCGATAAACGAGGGTTCACTGTACTCTACAAAATATTACCTGCAAGTATATTGCAATGATGTGTGTCACCTGTAGTTTCATGATTAAAGTGTATAACGAACATCAAAATTGATAATAAGCAAAGGTTCTGTATGGTCTGGTATGGGAGGAGGTCCCTGAGGGTGGGAGGGGGGTGACCCCTGATGCTGGGTGGCACCCACCCACTGGTCCTTCTTTCACCTTCTGTTGCACCCTCTGCATCTTACTACAAAATCTGCACCACTGTAAAATCCTGTTAAGTATCAGCCTCTTTGTCACCTCCTCGGCCGCCATCAGCTCCGCCAAGATTAGAGCAGAGCCTCCTAGCTGGTCTCCCACTTCGACCCCTGCCCCACAGACTCCACTCCAGGCAGCAGCCAGAGTGATCCTGTTAGAACAGAAATCGGATCACGTCAATCCTCTTTCAAAATCCAGCAGTGGTCTTCGCTCTCAGTCTGCAGAACGGACCAAATCCTTACAAATGGACTGAAAGGCCCCTGCGAGCTAACGCCCCTCCCACCTCTAAGACCTCAGCTTCTACCTGTTGCTCACTTGGCTTCTACCCAACGGCCTCCTCGCTCTTTCCCAGGTCTACCAGGCATGAGCCCACCGCAGGGCCTTTGCACACGCTGTGCCCTCTACCCAGAGCGCTCGCTGCATGGCTTGCTCCCGACTGCCTTCAGCCCTCCCTCGTTAAAACACAACCCCTTAGCTTCCCAGCGTATCCCAGCAGCTTCCCTCCTGGAAGCCTGGATCTGATCTCTGACCTCACTGTTCCTGTTGTGCCCACTCGGGCAGCTAGTGGCACAGACTGCCCTGGCCTCACCACCATACACCACCTTGTTGGCAAGGTCACACTGTCTCCCACCTGCAGAGGGCGCTCCCCCGGGCAGGTCTGAGTGCTCGCTGAGTCCCACCTGGGGCTGGGCACATGGTCAGCCTTTGGTAAATGCCAACTGATTTCCTGGTGGAACAGTGGGAAGTGACATGCAGGGGAAGGTCTAGCGCTCCTCTGGCCCTGTGTGGCCGATGGTCTGAACAAATATGAGTGCCCCTAATGGGTGGCACAGCCTGGCACATACCGAAAACCAAACCCATTGTCATTGAGCCAGTTCCAGCAAATCATGGCCCCGGTTTCTGAGGCTGTAAATCTTCACAGGAACAGACAGCCTCGCCTTTCTCCCTCAGAGCAGCTGGTGGGTGTGAACTGCCAACCTTGCAAATTAGCAATCTGATGCCTACCTGACAATGCCACCAGAGGTCCTTGGCACATAGTCCCTGCCATCTGGCTGATTCCAACTCATATCGCCCTATAAGGCCCTGTGGCGCCCAAGACAGAAACTCCTCACAGGAGCGGGCCGCCTCACCTTTCCCCTATGGAGTGGCTGGTGGTTTCCATACTGTTGACCTTGCCGGTGGCAGCCCAGCGCTTTAACCACTATGCTATGGGGCTTCCCTTGTTTCCCCAGGGGAGGGGCTCGCTTAGGGCTCCTCCGGGGATGTGGCAGGGAGTACCCCTCAAAGGCCAGGACAGGGCAGACAGGGTCCTGGAACTGGGACATCAGCACCCCTGAGGCAGGACATCTCCCCGCCAGAGGGCTTGGTCTGAAATCCCAGCTTTTCCACTTGTGCCCTGGAGATGAAATGTAAAACACCAGGCTCGAGATGGGCATGCAGCACGGACGGCACAAATGCCTGCTCGCCGTTCCCGTTCTGCCACTGGTGTGCCTGCTGTTCGCCCCGCAGCTGTGAGGCGGGCCCTACGGCGGCGGCGTCTGATGGGTCTGACTGCAGGCTACCAAGATGGCTGCGCTAGGGGCTCTGGTGCAGAGCTCCGTCCAGGGACCAAAGCATGCCCCACCACCTCCATGGGTGCGGACGCAGGCTCCTTTACTTACCTCCCCGGAGCCTCTGTTTTCCCATCTGTAAATGGTCCACACTCCCCAAGCATGACTCCTTGTCGATCCACTCAGGGCTTCGTTCAAAGGTGACCTTTCCAGACCCAGCCACTCAGGAGCCAGCTGTCCCTCCTCACACACACACACACACACACACACACACACACACACACACACACCTGCTTTCCTGCAGTCCACAGTCCACCTATTTCTCTTGTTTATTGTGTCTTCCCATTAGAAGGAAAACCCCAGAGACCCGTGATCTCTCCGCTCTACCCACTGTGCTGAGAACCGAGCCGGAACCTCGGGGTGCGTGAAGAGGGGACCCAGAGGGAGGGATTAGCGTGGTTTCTGTAAGGCACGGGCCGGTGGGGGCCCTCCCTGGTGTGAAGGTGAAGCCCAAGGCGTTTAGAGGCCGAGGCACCTGCCAGGGTCCCAGGAGTCCGTCTGGGGACAGTAAGCATCACTGAGGCTCTGCCTCCCAAGGTACCAGAGTGGTTTCCAAGACGACTTCCCACCAAACGCCTCTCAATAAGGCCCTAGAATGGACCTGCCGCGCCCCTCAGGGCTTGCCCCCCCTTAAAGCCCGCCCCAGCCTCCTAGCACCCCCACCAGGCGCGGGCCCCCCTCTTGCTTCTACAGCCCCTCACACTCTCCGCCGTGGGCCCCTTGAGGCTGTAATCTTTCGGGAGCAGAAAGCCAGGTCCTTTCTCCCGTGGAAACAGCCTACACCTTTTATTTTGCCCTTACTCCGCTCTTTCTAGCTTCACCCCTACACCCCCAGCCCCTTAAGGTCCCAACCTTCAGGCCTAGTCCCCTAGGGTCCCCACCCATCAGGCCCCACCCCGCCCCGCGCGCATGCTCACTGGTGCACTTCTTGACGTGGCCGCCCTTCTTGAGCGCGTGGCGGCTCAGCTTGCAGTGGAAGTTGTCCTCCCAGAACTCCGCAAACCAGATGTTGCGCCGGTTGTTGTCCAGCGTGCGGCTGGTGAAGTAGCGGTCGAAGCCTGGCGGAAGATGAAGACAGACGGCTGGGCCTCGGCCCCCGCCCCCCACTCCCCAGCACACCCCTTCCCATTCTCTGAAGACCCCCCCAAAGTGGGTCGATGTATTTCATTCCAAATGAAAAGAGCTGTCTTAAGCCCACATGGAAGTAGCACACCAACATGTGTGATCATGAAGGGCCAAAGGGACCAGGCTTTAAACACCAAAGGTGGGGAGGGGGAATCATATCCTCGTCAATGAGGGTGGCGCGTGATGGAGACCCAATGCCCATCTCTAGACAACTGGACATACCTTGCAGAGGGGTAGTGGGGAGATGAGTCACTTAGGGTTCAGTATAGCAATAATGAAGCCCACAACCTTCCTCTGGTTCTTGAACGCTTCCTCCCCGCAACTACCAGGACCCCAATTCTGCCTTGCAGACCTGGTTAGACCAGATGATGCACAGCGGTACAGATGGGAATCAGAAACGCAGGGAATCTAGGACAGAGGAACCTCTCAGGACCAGGGGTGACAGTGGCGATACCAGGAGGGAAAGGGGATGTAGTAGGGGGGAATGGATCACAGGGAGCTACGTGTGGCCTCCTCTCTGGGGGACGGGCAGCGGAGGGGTGGTGAAGGGAGACGCCGGACAGTGTAATATAAGATACAATAATAATTTATAAATTATTAAGGGCGCATGGGGGAGAGGAGAGGAGGAAGGGAAGGGGAGGGGGGAAAAAAGGAAAATTAGCGGGTTCCGGGAACCCAAGAGGCAAGCGAATTTTGGGAATGATGAGGGCAACAAATGTATAGATGTGCTTTACACGATTGATCTATGTATTGTGATGAATTGTATGAGCCCCAATAAATTGATTAAAAAAAAAGAAAAGAAAAGAGCTGTCTTGCGACCCAGGGGAACATGTGTAATCTAAAAAATGGTTGCTTTTCCGAAAGGGCAGTTCACCGCTGAGGATGTACTCTTAGCCACCAAGCAATGGTTCTGGTGGGGGGCCACCCTGGGGTCCTGAGATTAGGGCAGGGCCTCATGGCTGCCCAAACCTGGGAGCTTTGCTCTGGTTCTGGCGAGGAGACCGGGCCGGAGAGGCTAGGGGGTCACATCTTCCTCTTCCAGGGCAGAGTCTACCCACCAGGGGACAGACTCAGTCCATGTGCTTGCAGGACTCCCCAGCCCTGCTCTCAGCAGAACAGGCTGTCCCCCAGGGCTGCGGGCAGGCGGAAGGCCCGCTGCCTCCTCCCTTGTGCCAGACTGAAGCAGCAACTGTTGCGTGCCGTGCCGTGGACACAAATGACTGAGGTGCTCGGGCAGGGATGGCGGGACTGGTGAGTTCTCTGCTCAAGCTGATTCGCACTGGTAGTCACCCCACAGGCTGGGCTAGAACTGCCCCCGTGGGTTTCTGAGACTGTAAAGTTTCCCGGAAGCAAGGAGCCTCATCTTTCTCCTGTGGAGCAGCGGTGGTTTCGAACTGCCGACCTCCACCTTAGTAGCCCCACTCATAACCAATAGGCCACCAGGGCTCCTTCACAGAGTCCAAGTCGGGGTAACGTGACCGTTCCCCAGAGCTGCAGAGAGCAAGGCTGGCGCGGGGTGGGGGATTAGTCGAGGGCGGATGCTTCGATGCGCTGTTGACACTTGTCACGACCATCCAGTGGATCCTGAACACAGCGGCCCTGTAGGGCAAGGTGGAACCGCCCCTGTGGGTTTCCAAGGCTGGAACAGAAGTAGAAAGCATTCTCTTGCTCCCTCGGAACAGCTAGTGGTTCTGAACCGCCGGTCTCAAAGTTTAGCCGTCTAACGTGTGAACACTACACCCCCAGAGTTCCCCCACTCCACCTCCAGGGGCTCGGAAAACCCTTGGCCCTGGAGTCTCTCCTGCGCCTTCTGGGATGTTAGACAGCGGCAGCATCTTCTCTCGGTTCCTTCTCCCCAGCTGGGACCACCCAAAGGTCTCCGGACATTGCCGAAGAATGTACCCTGGAAGGCCAAGTCTCCCCCACTTGAGCACCCCTGCCAGAAGGGCTTCTCTGAGATGCCTGGGCGTGCGGGGGGCTAGACAATGGGCTGCTGGCCTCGAGGCTGGACACTCAAATCCATCAGCCACTTCTCAGGAGAAAGGGGAGGCTGTTCCCGAAAAGACTGAGAGCCTTGGAAACCCTCAAATTCACTGCCATCCTTTCACATTGCGCCCCCCTGCCCCCACCCCCGTGTCTCTGGAGGTGCTGGGGAGCCTCCTTGCAACGTCTATAAGAGGCCTGGCATCAGACAGTGTGAGACATGGCAAAATCATAATAGTTTATAAATTATCAAGGGTTTGTGGGAGGGGCGGGGAGGGAAGGGAAAAAATGAGGCGCTGATACCAAGGGCTCAAGTAGAAAGCAAATGTTTTGAGAAGGATGAGGGCAACAAATGTACAAATGTGCTTGACACAATGGATGGATGGACGGATTGTGATAAGAGTTATACGAGCCCCCAATAAAATGATTTTTTTTAAAAAGAGGCCTGGCATTGGTGGACACCTGTAAGCCACAGCCAGTGTGATGTGCTGATTGTGGCTTGTAGCCGAGAGGCGCCGTGTGGAAACTTCCACCACCTGCACCCCATCCACCCGGGAGTGAGCAGACAACGCTAGTACATGGCCTTGAGCAAGCCCCTCTTTTTCCCGGGCCTCATTCTCTCCCCGTCCAGCCCCAGCAGCGGGGGTCCAGTAAGCAGGGAGAGAGCAGGGGTAGGGAAGGCGCCAGGAGCCTCCCGGGTGGTGAGGACAGACAGGTCCCTGCCAAACCAGGCCACTATCTAGAACTGCCTGCCTTGCTCCCACACAGTTCCCATCCGAGTCTGCTTCTGCCCCGAGTGACCAGAGTCCCCTCCTGAGATGAAGGGATCTAGGGCAGGGCAAGCCCAACCGCAAACCCATCTGAGGGGCTCCCTGTCCATGCTGGCCCTGCGGGGAGGCTGCTCCCCACTGCACAGCCTGATGGTGGCTCCCAGCAGGGCTCCAGGCAGGCTGAGCCCTCTAGCCTCTTCTGCCCCCAGTGGGAGGAGGGCTTCGATGACGGGTGCAGGAGAAGCCCCCTGTACACACACCCTCTTCTCCCACAGGCAGCATGGCTGCGAAGGGCTGGATCTGGATCCGAACCCCAGCCCCCTCGGAGCAGAAGAGCCCTGGGCCTACAAGGAGGGAGGGAGGGAGGGAGGGAGCACTGTGGGAAGGTGAAGAGCCAGAGAGAGGGGATGGCGCCTGCCGGGGGCGGACGATGCGGCAGAGCAGTGGGGCCGTGGGGCGAGGGCAGTGGGCCCTCTGAGGCCTACCTCTCACGGACATCCTCTTGGGAAGGATGGTGACGGCGCCCTCGGCCACCTCCTCCAGGCGCAGCACGGGTGCGATCTTGGATCCCCAGCTGTCTGAGCCCATCCAGAAGAAGTGGCCTGTCTGGTTAGCTTTTCGAGCGGCCTCCAACACGCGCCTGTGGGCACACACGCCAGCCCAGCCGTGTCTGTCCGTACCGCCCCACCCTGCCTGCACCCCAACTGCCCCAGCCCACACTGTCCCCTTCACAGCCCATGGCCGCACGCACCGTGGCCCACAGCTGTTCAGAACCCAAACCAATGGTGCCCACACTGGCCCACAGACACATGGCTAGCCCCCTCTACCTACCCCTCCCCTGGTCCCATCAGTTCAGTGCTTTCCCCAGACCCGTCCCTGTTCCCGGGGCCACACCTCCCCCATGTTGGATTGGGGTCCCAGAACCATGTCTGCCCAGCCCCCGTCTCCTCGGGCTCCCACCAGCTAAGCCCACCTCCGCATCTCTGAGTTCTTCTCACCCCTCTGGCCATCCGTGCACACACAGTCCTGTGCACCTTCACCTCTCCGCCCTCAGCCCCTGCCAGGCCCCTCCCACCGGTACCCGCTCACCCACCCCTCCTGTGCCACAAGTCCAGGTCCTTCTGAGAGCTGCCCCCCACACCCTGCAGGACCCCAGCCCAGCCCAGGACCCCAGGGCCCAGCCCAGAGCCCACAGGGGTGCTCAACCAGCACTGACTACATGCCCCTCAAAGACAGCTCATTGGAGGGGGGACTTAGGGAAGGGGTACACTCCCTCCACCCCAGCTCCTTCTAAGGAAAGAGGAACACGCACAGCAGAGGCAAGTGACTTGCCCAAGGTCACACAGCGGGTGAGAGGCAGGACCCGCCAGCCCCGTCCCACCAGAGAGCATTAGGAGCAGATACCAGGGCCTAGAGCAGTGATTCTCAACCTTTCTAATGCCGCGACCCTTTCATACAGCTCCTCATGTGGTGGTGACCCCCCGACCATAAAATTATTTCGTTGCTACTTCATCACTGTCATTTTGTTACTGGCATGAATCTGGCGACCCCTGTGAAAGGATCGGTCGGCCCCCAAAGGGGTCTCGACCCACCGGTTGAGAACCGCTGGTCTAGAGGTAGACAGCTGGTGCAGGAAGGCCTCCAGAAGAAACCAATGGCCCCCAAGCTGTGGCTGGGCCACGCTGAGCTAGGCTTGCTGTCTACCATGGCCCCACCCCGCCCCTCCCCCCCCATCCACCAGCTGCCGACACTTCCCGGGCTCCTTCACCTGCTGCACACACGCCCCTCCACAGGTCACCACTAATGGTGACCACAGGTGACCGCTGGGGCTGCTCTCAGAACCCACACCCGCATCTCTATTAAGACCCGGCTGCATCGGCCAGCCCGATGACCAGGGCACCCAGCCCGCCGCCCCTGCAAAGTCACCTGGGTCTATTTTTACCTTGATTTGTTTCTGAAAATGCGCACGGTTCTCCAGAGATGACCCCCGCTCCTCCCTTGTACTCTTCCTGCAGCCTGCTCAGAGTCCAGCCCAGGGCCCTCCACACCCTCGCCTCTTCGCTGGGACGAGGGCCCCAACACTGCACCCCAGACTCTGGGCCTGGGGGCGCCAAGTCCTCCCCCTTTGAAGCCTCTGACACACACACCCCCACCTCTGTCTGAGGGCGTGGGAGCGTGCTATCATTCCCACTGGGCAGGATGGAAAATCCGAGGTCTTCTGGCCTCATGCCATCGGCTCACCTGCTCTGAGCAGAGAAGGTGCTGTCTATATTCAGATTCTGGTGGCTGGAAGACACCACGCCCCTCCCTCAGGCTCCCCCTGTCCCATCCCACACTGTCAGTCCTCAGCTTCCACCCACCTTCCCTCGCTGCTCCTACCCAGGAATCTTTGTGGGGGGGGGGGGGGAATCCAGGGCTCCTCCCTCGTCCTCACCCTCGCCACCCCTAACCAATCAGTCCCCACGGCCTGTGTCCACCTTCTCAGCCATGCCCCTTTGAACCACCACCTAGTGCTCCCTCACCATCTCTTGCCTCACGTGGGCGGTCTCAGGGTCTGGCTTCCTGCCTCCCACCCCTCCATCATCTGCCCTTCCCTCAGCTGAGGGCATGTAGGGCACGCAGTGGCCCTGGGGAGCCTGGCCCACGGCTGCGCGAAGCCGGGAAGGCTGTGGATCCTGTTAGGGAAAGCTGGAGACCTGACACTGATGAAGAATCCTGGCTGAACGGAAGCTGGCCCTCGAGGACAATAAGCAAGGGCCGGGGACAAATCTAGGTGGGGTATGGGGACCGGTAATGTCAGGCTTTGGACATTAGCCAGGGACTGAGACTGGGGTCTGAGGTGAAGAATAAACACTCAGATTGGACCATCGCCTGCCCCGGCCCTGGATGACCGATGGGCAGTGGAACAGCCAGTCGGAATTCAAGGACTCCATAGGGCTCCCAGGAGCCCTGCCGCTGCAGTGCATGCTGGGCCCCTGAGCAGGAAGTCAGCAGTTGAAGCCCACTAGCCTCTCTGCGAGAGAAAGATGAGGCTGTCTGCTCCCATAAAGATTTATCGTCCTGGCTAGTCGACTCTGTCCTGTACCGTCCTGGCCAGTTAGTCTGCTTGGCGGCAGGGGGCTTGGTTTGAGTGTGGTGTGTGAGGCTTACAGGGGTCCGGAGCTGACTCTCTGCTCAGGTCTGAAGATGTCAGAGGACTCGGAGAACTTCGCCTCCCTGGCCTGAGGCACCCTCTTTACAAGGGTCTCTCTGGCTTTTGAGAGCTTAGTGATCAGCTAGAACTCATGCCCTGCCCACCTCCAGGTCCCTGGCAACATGCCTAGGGAGAGCGGCCCTGCTGCCTACAGCCGAGGCTAGTGGGAAGGAGGGCCGGATCAGAACCCACGTGTTCCAGCCTGTGGTAGACTCTGTCACCAATCTGAGACTTAAGAGTGAATGGGGTGGAGTTTAGCCTGTTAATCAGGTCGCAGCTTGATGACCTCATTTGGTGGCACTAAGGCAATAAATAGCTGCCTGCGGGACATTCCTGTTGACAAGAGACACGGAGCTAGGCTGATGGCAGCCAGAGCCCTGGAGCTGGAGGAGCCACACGGAGACCCACACCAGCGCTAAGAAGCTTCCACCGCCACTGGATCCGTAAGGCTTTCCACCCACTGGCCTGTGATCTTCCTGTATTCAGCGGCATTGCATGTGTTGCGTGAGTCTGAAGAGGACTTTACAGACTGGTACTGGACAAATGGGTTAATATTGGACTTATGGACTTGATCTGGACTGGGCTGGGATGTTTTCTTAATGTACAATTACTCTTTATGTAAAGCTCTTTCCTATAGACATGAGTGTCTATGAATTTGTTTCTCTAGTCTACCCAGACCGACACATAGCCCAAGCCCATGCCCGTAACTGCCCCCTGCCGCTCCCCATGGAGGCTTTGTGCTCATCATTTGGGCTGTGGAATGAAGGCAGGAGACAGGGAGAAGCGACAGGAGGGTGCCCCACTAATCGGAGGTAGCGTCGCCCCAGCCCGAAGGGACTCTCATCTCACATTCTCACCAAACTGGCCCCTCTGGACCCCAAGGTGGGATCAGGCTAGTCCAGGGAAGTCTCCCATGACCAAGGCTTATGCCACACTTGGTACCCACCGCCCTCAGTCCCCACCCCCAGCCCGTGGCCACTGGCTGCCCTCACCTGATGTCATCCTCGTTGGCAAAGATGATGACCGCTCTGGCGTTCGAGGTTTCCAGGAGGCGCCTGATGATCTTGTCAAACTCACCGGACTTGGGCTCCCGAGGGATCTTCACCGACTGGGCGATGCATACGCCCCCTGTGGGAGAGGCACCCGTCAGCAAGGGCGGTGGGGACTGCAGGCTCGCTTGGGCACTTTCTCTCTCCCCCAGAGAGCAGGGCTGGGGGCCGTCCAACCCCCTGCCTGGCCCCCAGCCACAGTGCAAAAAACGCAGCTCCACCGGGTACCAGACACATTCCTGATCCGGGGCCCAAAGTGAGCTGCTGCTAAGGAGGTCCCAGCATAGCTCTTTGCAGCCAGGTGGCTTGGGTATAAATCTTGATTCTACCGCTGGCTGCTGTGTGACCTGGGGCCAGGGACTGAACCTCTCTGTTCCTCAAATACATCATCTGTAAAGCGGAGGTAATGCCATCACCTTCAGAGTGGCCATGACAAGTGAGCTCGCTGGGCTGTCTGTCAGTCACCCTGAGTGCCGGCCACTGATCTCTACCCACCAGGGACTCAGTCCGGGGCATTTTGCAGCCCCACTCCCCAGTCCCACCCCTTCTACAACTTTTCAGGATCTCAGCGGCGCGGGTGGTGTTTCCAGCTGTGAGGTGCATTCTTGCCCTGATGGATGCTGGATGTGGAAATCCTGGGGTGCACACAATGTTAAGGAGCCCTGGTGGCGTTGCCTGGCTAACGGCAAGGTCTGAGGTTCGAACCCACCAGCCGCACCTTAGGAGAAAGGGGAGACTGCGTGCTTTTGTAGTTTTTCCCTCTCGGATCCTCTAAGAAGCAGCTCTACTGTCCTTTTGGCTGCTATGAGCCGGAATCAACAGTGGGTGTGACTGCAGGAAATACAGCAGGGAATTAATTACATTGTAACCACGAGTCCTCTCTGGGTTTTAACTTGACAAGCCTTTGTGGCTCAATGTCAAACCGAGTTCATCAAGCTAGGTTTGAGAACCTGCCCATGACATACGATTGTGCAAAGCCTGGGCAAATGGCGTCCTGTCTCTGAACCTTAGTGCCCCTGTGTGCCAAGAAGAGAAAGTGGAGCAGCAGCGGGCCCTGTTGCCTGCACCGGCAGAGATCATGCCCGCCCGTGAACTGGCAAGCACACAATGGAGACTTCATTGACGTAAAAATAAATAAGTAAAAACAAGAGAGTCCATGCATACAAACACAACACCTGGCACCTGGTAAGCGCCCGGGTGTCGGTTATTTTTATCGTAACCCCCTCAGAAGGATTCGAGGAGGAAGGCAAACTGCCCGCCCTGGGCTCTTAGTGGCCTCTTCCCTGAGCCCAGCCTGGGAAGAAGGGGCATACAGGGCTGCCCCCTGGTGCCCAGCTCCCAGGCAGCAGCTCTGCAAACCGCCTCTAGTGAGCACCCAGCCCTCCCCCAGGCCCCTTGCCAAGCTCCCCAGGGCCCAGCATGCACCGGGGCAGTGACACTCCAGCCTCCCTACCTCCTTCTTCCTGATCAGATTCCCAGCTGGAAGCCGGATTCTTATGGGAGGGCTTCTGGGTGGCACAGTCTGAAAGCTCGGTGGGAATCCGGGGAGGGCCCTCGAGAGGCTCGAATCACCCCCACTTCTCTGACACATCTTTCGCACTTCCTTCCCTGCTGAATTCTGGGGAAGGGGACAGAGACCAGGACCTGCCTGCCTCATGAGCTCATCCCCTGCAAAAAGCCCACCTCTGCCGTCTGCGCCCACCCACAGGCTGCAGGCGCCATCCAAAGAGCCTCTGAAATCAGCTTTGATGAGACCCCCCCAATCACCCAGCTGCTCCTCTTCCCACCCACCCCCAATATGTCACCCATCACTGGCTTCAGCCCACCCCCTGGGTACCAGCTTGCCCATCCCTCGCCGGCCCCTCTTCAGTCTGCCCAGTTCCCAGCCCACCCAGTGGGAACCCAGGGAGGAGCGATTAGAGGGTGGGAGTCCGGGTCTGCGCCCTGAGCTCAAACCCGCGCTCCGCCACAAACTCGCAGAGTGACCTCTGGCTCTGCGCGTCTCCTGGCTTGCCTCAGTTTCCCCATCTGTACTAAGGGAGGAAACTACCCTGTGATGTGGTGCCGCAGAAATGCCCGGCATGTAGTCCAGGGATTTGCTCACTCGATCCTCATCGTCCGTGAGACAGGTCCTACTTGCACCCCCATCTCGCAGGTGGGAAAACTGAGGCAAACAGGAGACAGCACTGACCTGAAGATGCACGGTCAAGGCACAGTGAAGCCAGGGTTCAAACCCAGGCTGTGAGGCTGAAGCACAGGGACCCTCACATCACTGTGGCCCGGTCCCAGCCTCAGGTGTGTCTCTCTTGAGCGGCTGGGCAGCTGGGCCGGGGCCACATGTGTGTTGCAATCTCACTGGAAGCCACGGTGCCGAAGCATTTTCAGGCGGCTGTTTCTGTCATTGGCTGCATTTGAGGAATGCGGAAGAGTGGGACCCTCATGGGGCCCCCGGTACCCGGGTGAGAGTTTACGGAAAAGTGTGCAGGGTTGCCCTTCATGCAGATAAACCCTCCGTGGTGGCATGGCACCCTCTTCCCGGCCCACTGGGTCCTGAACAAGGACCTGTGGGGACCCAGTCAACGTCAAGTCAGCCACTGGACACCCCATGGCCCCTCGGTCCAGTGAGTGGGCCTGGGCTTAATGAGGGACAGATGCCTCACCCGGCAGCCCCCCGGCGGAAAGGGTCAGCACCCGGCCTCACTCCGGGTTAGGAAAGGTGGGTTGGGCCCAGCCAACTCAAGGCAAGGGGGTGCAAGTAAGCATTGAGCCAAGTCTAGGCGGGCAGGAGGTGCACGGAGGCAGGGAAAGAAGCACTTCCAGTGTAACGGGCTCCACTATCCAGCAGGGTTATGTCACACCTACTACTGGGTCCAGGACCACACGCACATACACACACACAGCCCCCTCATTCTCTGCAGCAGGCAAAGCAGCCACAGCCCTTCTGTCCCAGTCCAGACTACCTCCCACCGCTCAATCCCTGCCACATCCATCCAGACGGGCCTCACCCTGGCAGTCCCACCTAAGACACCCAAGAAGAGCCAAGCCCTGGAGGAGGGCGTGGGCACCAGGGGGTCCCAGGGAAGGGAGAGAAGGAGGGACAGAGGCAGGCTTCCCGGGCAGGGCGAGGACTCCTTCCAGCCCCTGGTCGCAGGAGAGCTGGCGGGAGCCAGCCTGCACCCAGAGCCCTGGCCGTGCCTTAATGGTAGCTGGGCAGGCACTCAGCTCCCAGCAAACCTCTCCATATGGTTCCTTTCCCGTCAGAAAGTGGGCCAATTGCAACATTTCTCCCCAATCTGGGGAGACAGATGGACACGAGGAGGAGGCTGGAGGGGGGTAAGGATGAGCCACCTGGTTTCAGGAGGGAGGAGGAGGGACAGGGAGCAGGCCAGTGGGGGGGGAGCAGGGCGGGGGGCATGTAGAGGGAGGCAGGGGAGGGACGTTAATTGTTCTGGAAGAGGGCGACACTGTTCGGTTAAGTAATATTTACGGGTGATGCTCCCTCTAAGAGGTCCCGCTGGGCACCCGGGGATGTCTGATGCGCCTCGTTTGCCAGTAGCAGGAGAAGGTGACCTCCGCCCTGTCAGCAGAAATCTCAGTGAGTCACAGGGACCAGGGAGGCAGCCATGGGCTGAGCAGGGTTTGAACCCGGGGGAAGGAGAGGGGGGCAGTGGGGGGGGGGATGAGGGGCACAGGGCTGCAGGGGGCTTTGGAAGGCAAGTATGTGTGGCTCAACCAGTCAGGGAGCATTTGTGGGGGTCTGTGCAAGCTGGTTAGTGGGGTCTGCACATTGCCCAAGAGCCGTTCATCAGCGGACAGTCTCACCTGCCGCTCTGCCACCTGCAGATGAGAGGACGGAGCCCCAGGGAGGCTGAGGGCACCGGCTGGCTTGAAGCCAGGCTGTCGGGCTCTCGCTGCTGCCTCACGACGCAGGCCACCTGGGAGAGCGACCAGGTAGTGGAGTGGGGGAACAAGCAGGTCCTGTGAGCACAGCACCTGCCTGTCTCCTGACGCCCCATGGTCTCATTTCGCTGCTGAGGGCCGCCACCCACCACACAGACGCGGCGTGCTGGTCACTCTGGCCCCCTGGGATGCCCCTCTCCACTGTCTCACACACCTCGGAGACCCCGAGGTGTGGGGCTGCAGTCTGGGCCTGTGCCCAAAGCCACTCTCGGTTGAGAAGGGGAAGGCTCAGGCCACTGACCAACACCTCCTGCAGCTCCCTTTACGCGAGTTTCCTCCAACTGATAAACCGTGGCTCGGCAGCAGGCCTCAGACACAAAAGGGCCGGACCCTCTCCTGCAGCCCCCACTGTGTGGGTGGGCTGGGGCACACACTTGAACGCAGGTGCACGCACCCGTGTATGTGCACACACAACACCTTCCACCCCACCCCCAGTCTCTCATCTAACAGAATAAGAGTCCCAGTGCCCATGCGGATAATGAACAAAAGTCCCCATAGCCCTCCTGGACGAGCCCATGCCCCATCTCTGGGCAGAGATGCAGCTTATAGACCCAGAAGCAGGGAAGGGCGGAAAGGAGTCTGGAATTCCTGTCCCAAGGGCCCTGGGCCCTCCCTGGTCCCCCACAGTGAGCCCCTCACACCCCAGCTTCCCAGCCCTGGCCACCCTGGCCAAGTTGGGAGGCCAGGCAGGGAGCCACAGCCCCTTGCCAAGAACAGCCGAGACAGCCGAGCTGGAAGGACCGCAGAGGCCTCCGGGCCAAAACTGAGCTCAGCAAGCCAGAGCGGGGCTATGCCTGGCCCAGGGTCACCCAGCAGCAGGCCGAATCCCTCCAGATGAGCCAGGCCAGCCCATGGCAGCCCCTGCTTTGTCACAGCAAGCAGAGCAGAGGCACAGCTGCCGAACCCTGCAGTGAGTATAGTGGCCTCTCACGCCTCCTCGCTCCTGGCTCCCAGCTCCCAGCAGCCATGCCCACGTGCCCACCTAAGCCTTCACTCCGCCCTGAAGTGGGTTCCCAGCTCCTCCCCAAGCTGTGGCACCCATCTGAGCCTGCCCCAGCTCCAGAACATTCCCTCCACTCTGTGCCATCCCACCTGCCAACTGACCTGCCTGCAGTCCCA